ATTTTTTGTCAAGACTTCTCAAAGTACTTAATCTTTAGATACAATTGATAGTTATATTGTTAATAGATAAAATAATTGATATTTATTATTTAATAGATTAAAATTAATGTATAAGTTAGGTTAAATTTTCAATTTAATCTCTCAATTATTATATGGACCCCTCAGTTGGTACCTAAACTAAAAAAATCTTTGATTTAATCCTTAAAGTTTTTTAATTTAACTATGAGTTGGTATTTTTATTAAAAAAGAATTAACGTAGTAGTTACTTAACAACAAAAGGCTATTACTTGATGATTACATGTCATTGTAATAATAGAACACATCACCTTTTTCAATAGAGGGACTAATTTGAAGTCAAATTTAGAAACTTTAGGGATTAAATTAAATTTTTTTTAATTTATAAACTAATTTAGAGGTTTATACAATAATTGAGGGACTAAATTAAGAGTTTAACCTATAAATTAATATTTCTAAATATCATAACTTTTTAACAAAAAAAAAATCAATAAAATCAATCAAAACAAATACAATTACTATACTATTTGTGTGGCTTATTAATTGATTAAAATTTTGTTAGTAAATTTGAAGGCACCAACTTTAGTTGATTAAAATTTATTATTAAATTAAACCTTACATCGTGACTAAATCAAACTTAGTGTCACGCTTTAGTGGAACAAACTAAACATAAGTTTTCTAATATCCGAAATAAAAACAACCCATTTTTATGTTTCCACTCATTCCTGAGGCCGCAGATTTTGCTAAAAACAACTTATATGGCCGACAACAATTTTTAGAGGCAAAAACCCTTCTTAAGCTTGTAAATTTATCTCAAAATAGCATTTAAGTCCCTAAATTAAAAAAAACCCTCCAACTCTATCAACAACACAAATAAACCCTCATCACAAACAGTATTTTATGTTTAATATCATATTGAAAGCATGAATATCCATGAATGAGAAGGGTTTATTCGCATAATTAATGAAGTTAGAGAGCTTATCTATTTTATTTTTAGTTTAGGGGTTTAAATGTCATTTTAAGATAAATTTAAGGGCTTAAGAAGGGTTTTTGCCATTTCTAAACCGCAACCAAACAGACCCTTAAAACTTAAAAGAGGAAAAAAAAAAAAAAGGAGTAATTGTATATAAAGACAAAAAGGCCCTCGATTAATGACGTTGAAAAGACCAAGGTAAATATTAGTAGATGTTAAAAAAGAAAAGAAAAAACAGGGTGAGAGAGGGAAGCAGGGGCAGCAAGCGCAGGAAGGTAGAAGAGAGATGAAGCGATGATGAAAAGGAAGAGGAAGCTGCTCTGCAACTCTTTTCCCCCTTCTCTTAAACTCTAACCTCACTCACACGACAACTCCTTCCCTCTGTTTCTCCTTTCTCCATCCCAAACACAAAAGAGCAATCTCTAATGGTTTTTTCTTAAAGAGTCAACTCATCCCGCGTTATGGGCTGCTGTAAATCCACCTTCGTCAAACGGCCAGACTCTTCTTCTCAACACAACCACCACCAGAATAACCAAATCATCAACGGCGCCGGTTCTGTTGGCGTCGAGGTGGGAGGTGTGCTGGATTTCGCGGAGTTCTCTCTTGCGGAGCTGAAGGCTGCCACTAACAACTTCAGCGCCGATTTCATCGTCTCCGAGAGCGGCGAGAGGGCTCCTAATGTTGTCTACAAAGGTCGCCTCCAGAACAATAATAATCACCGCTGCATCGCCATCAAGAAGTTTTCCAAATCAGCGTGGCCGGATCCCAAGCAATTCGCGGTGTGTTATCCAATTCGTGGAATCGTTTCCATTTCTAGGGTTCCAATTTTTTTTTTCTTTTGTTGATTTTCGTTTATTGATATTTCTTGAAGGATGAAGCATGGGGTGTCGGGAGGCTGAGGCACAAGAGGCTGGCGAATTTGATTGGGTATTGCTGCGATGGAGACGAGAGGTTGATTGTGGCGGAGTACATGCCCAATGATACCCTTGCAAAGCATTTATTTCACTGTATGATGCTCCTTTTGATATAATTATTGGTTTCATGATCCATCCAAACTCTTTCATGTTGCTTTATGTGTTCTGTATGTAGTTGACAAATATTAATGATATTGCTCCATGGAATTAAATTCTTGCATATAATTATTAATAATTTATACTACAAATTAATCACCCTGGTTGCAGCTTCATCATTTTTTTTTCAACTGCAAGATGAGCATGATATCGTGTTTTCTTGCTATATATCCAATTGGGGTGTGAGTCTTTTTAATTACACTTGTTCGTGCTCATTTCATGTTGACGAGTTTGTGCTTGAAGATAATTTTAGTATATGCTTGCTTTACAGGGGAGAGCCAGACTATTGAATGGGCCATGCGTCTAAGAGTTGCTCTGTATATTGCTGAAGCTTTAAATTATTGTAGTGGCAAAGGCCGTCTACTCTACCATGATTTGAATGCATATCGGGTTCTGTTTGATGAGGTGTTGTGATAAAGCTCCTTCAAAATGTTGATATTTGTTTTAATCTACTAGAGCAAAATGTTAAATTTGTTTTGGTTTTGGTTTTGGTTTTGGCAGAATGGTGATCCTCAACTTTCATGTTTTGGTTTGATGAAGAACAGCAGAGATGGGAAAAGTTACAGCACAAATCTTGCCTATACACCTCCTGAGTATCTAAGAAATGGTGAGTGCTTTACCATTTAAGTTTTGTTGTCATTGATGAAATTGAACACACATGACAATTAAGTGTTCAAAGCTTTGAAGTTTCTGAGAGTACATTGGCCTTCTCAACCCTGCAATGACCATTTTTTAACCTGATAACCGTTGTTAGATTACTTCTTTCCTGTGTTTCTGTCATATGCTGTAATTCAAATGGTCTATTTTTTGTAGGAAGGGTTACTCCTGAAAGTGTTATCTTCAGTTTTGGAACTGTCCTTTTGGATCTTCTCAGTGGAAAGCACATTCCTCCAAGTCACGTGAGTGTTTACTTTTGAGTATTGTTTTTGCTGAGAAAGCTTTGATCAACATGCAACTTAAACTCACTAGTTGAATACAGGGTAAGAGCTATAATAAATGATAAATACAGTTTCATATCATTTGCATTCTCTTAAGGATGATTAAAGGTAGAACTATGTGATTTTGCCTTTGGACTGGTTTAAATGCCTTCAATTTTGAACTTGGCAATGCTCAATATGATGCTATATCTGAACTGACAAACTTAAGTATTTTTAGTTCTATATGTTCTCTGTTCCTTGCTGATTGTATTTTCCGTATCTGTATTTTGTGGAGAGTTGATATTCGAATGTTTCTCACTTCAGCTTCTTTTTTTTTTTTTGGTATTCAGGCTCTTGATATGATACGGGGCAAAAACATTCTTCACATAATGGATTCACATCTAGAGGGGAACTTTTCGGCTGAAGAAGCAACAGTGGTCTTAGATCTTGCCTCAAGATGTTTACAACATGAACCTAGGGAACGGCCAAATACCCAAGATCTTGTTGCAACGCTTGCTCCACTGCAAAATAAATCTGACGTAAGCTGTCTACCTTCCTTTCTTCTGATTTATAAATTCATCTTTATCTGGTTTATATCTTTTCATCTCTATTTGATTTAAACCTTCACACACCCACTGAGATGGTTCCCTTTGCTCCTAGGAGTGAGAGTTCTAGTCCCAGAAGAATTTTTTTTCTTTTTCTTTTTTCCCATTACATATCATAGGATTTTGGTGACTTGATTGATTACTTGCAGGTTCCATCTTATGTGATGCTTGGAATTGCTAAGAATGAGGAAGCACCTCCTACTCCACAGCATCCTCTTTCTCCTATGGGTGATGCATGTTCAAGGATGGACCTCACAGCTATCCACCAGATTCTGGTAACAACACATTACAGAGATGATGAAGGAACCAATGAGGTAATGGAAATGACATGTATAAATTTGTTGATACGTGCATATGGTGCAGTACTAAATTCATATTTCAATATGGATTGCCTCAGCTATCTTTTCAAGAGTGGACACAACAAATGAGAGATATGTTGGAGGCAAGAAAGCGTGGGGATGTTGCATTTCGTGACAAAGATTTTAAAACTGCTATAGAATGTTATACTCAGGTATATATCTTTTATGTTATATTACTGTGATGAGGGGACAATTGAAAATTGGAGCTCTGCCACTTATTATGGATTTAGTCCTTGTAGGATCTGAGTTAAGGTTTTGTTCTTTTCCTTTGTCTTGATGATCCCTAAACATTAACCCATTTCCATGCACAGTTCATTGATGTAGGAACCATGGTTTCTCCAACTGTATTTGCACGGAGAAGTCTTTGTCATCTTCTCTGTGATCAACCAGATGCTGCCCTCCGAGATGCAATGCAAGCACAATGTGTGTATCCAGACTGGTCGACCGCATTCTACATGCAAGCAGTTGCCCTTTCAAAGTTGGACATGCACAAGGATGCGGCTGACATGTTGAGTGAAGCTACTACCCTAGAAGATAAAAGGCAACGAGGTGGGAAAGGATCTTGACGAGCAACTCCTGTGGGTAATTCTTTTTCTAGTGTGAGTGTTGTAGTAGTTCATGTATAATTGGGATTGTGGTGTCCTTCCAAAATTGTACCATAGAGGGAGGGAGACTTGTTTGGCTCACTGTTATTATTATTACTATTATTATTTTTGACCCTTCGCGATTTTGATGAAATAAGAAATTGGTTCTTATCCACTCTGAAAATATAAAAATAAAAATAAAAAATAGAAGAAGAAAAAGAAAAAGAAAAAGAAAAAGAAAAAGAAAAATAAAAAGAAAAAGAAAAAGAAAGAATCATTTTTCCGTCCTCTGTGCATGTATTAGGCCCGATTTGAATTCTTTCGGTGGCCGTGATCTCAATTAGAAACCCAATAAATGAGTCTGTACCACAAAGTAAAAACAATTATTGAGTAGGGTGAGCAATGGGTATGGATACA